GAAGGAAAGAAGGAAAGAAGGAAAGAAGGAAAGAAGGAAAGAAGGAAAGAAGGAAAGAAGGAAAGAAGGAAAGAAGGAAAGAAGGAAAGAAGGAAGAGGTAGTCCGTTTGGCAAACACAACCAAGATCTGGAAACGCCTAAAGACAGGTTTCCTTTTCACTTAAGGGATGTATGAAACTTTACGTTCCCCTATGATCGAAAAAGTTAGTTCAGACGCATACTTTAGTTACAACACTTCATCTACCCCAACAACCAACGCACCAGCTACGTGCTGCTCGCCCAGCCACGGGGCACCGGGCAGCGCGGGGCGACAGCCCGAGTGCCCGCCCGGCCGGCCGCTGACAGCCCCCAGCGCCGCTCTTGCCCCGCGGGAGCCGCCGAGCGCAGGCCGCACGGCCCCGCCCCACGCGGCCGGAACGCCCCTTGCCGCCCCGCGCGGGCAGCGGAGCGCGTGGGGGACCCGCCGCCGGACACGCGCGACGCGAGCGGGGGGCCCCGCCTGCGCGTGGGAGCGCCCCCCGCAGGCGGGGCCGAGGGGCGCGTCAGCCCGCGGGATCGCCCCCCCGCACGCACGGCCCCCTCCGCCGGCCGCTAACGGAGACGGCGGCTGCCGCCTCTGCCCTCACCTCCTCGGGGATTCCGCCACCGGGGAAGGCGCGGGAGCCTCACGCCGCTGCCGCCGCGCCGGGGCCGCTGGGTGAGGGGCGGGCGGGGGAGGCGGAGGATTTGAACGCCGGCAGTTCTGCTCCCCGCTCCGGGATTGGCTGCTGCGTCGCGACGTCACGGGGCGCGCTCCGCTGCCGCACTGCAGCCGGTGTCGCCAGGCTGCGGGGCGCGCGCGGCAGCGGCCGCGGGGCGCGCCGGGGGTTGTAGTCCCGTTCCTGCTCTGCGCTGCGCGGGGCTCTGTCCGCGCCGCGCTCACAACCCCCACTGGCGGAAGTGTCGCTGGAGAAGCGCCCGCAAGCCCGCAGGTGGGACACGAGGACTTTCTGATGTGAAGCCTCGCCTAGATAATGTCCCTGGGGTCTCCTGTTCGTACTCACGTGTTACTGTCAGACCGTTCTGCTAAGGAAGGCATTTCACAGAATCACGGAATCTGTTAGCTTGGAAAAGATCTCTGAGATCGTCGAGTGCAACCTATGATCAAACAACACCTGATCAACTAGACCATGGCACTAACTGCCACATCCAGTCTTAAACACTTCCAGGGACGGTGACAATACCACTTCTCCCCGGGCAGTTCATCCCAATACTCAAACACCCTTTCTGTGATAAAATTCTTCCTAATGGCCAACGTGAACCTCCACTGGTACAGCATATGGCTATGTCCTCTCATCTGTCGCTTTCACCCTGGAGTGCAAAGTCATTCCTGCTTCAGGATGGAAAAAAAGCCTTGGTTGGTGTTATAAATGAGAATTTATTCAGCCAGATTAAAAATAAAAATAATTTTATTAGCGGTCAAATTCTATCTAGCCAGCCACACGGAAAGAACAGAGCCGAGCCCGGGGTCGGCCCTGGGTGTGCAACAAGGAGTCAGCCTCAGCAGAGGTTTTCCCCTATGCCCACACACCTCCATCCTGGCCCGAGTGGTTTTTATAGGGAAAATTCCACCTGAGGCCAAGATTTGAGCAGTTAGTCTTTTCTTCTATTCAGAGTCTATAGGTTAATAAGATTTTCTTTTTTTGGTGATGAGGAGAAATAATTCAATGTCCAGAGTAGTTGAATTCGGAGTAGTTGAATTCTTGATGAGAGTTTACGGGAAGGCTGCATTCACATGGATCTGTCTAAGGATTTCCATGATATCCATCTCAGACGATCAGCACCGATGGTGATGATCAACACCTGGAGCCCAGATATGGCCCATCTCCTGGCCGAGCCACATCCTTTTACTTGTAAATCAGTTTCTAATATACATCCAGTCTCGCCTGTAAAGGGGGAGGGGGGGGGAACTAATACGACGGGCATGATTTAACAAATATCCAATATTACATATTTCATACAAGGAATGGCGCGAATTATATTTATTACACATAACATTCTGAAGAGCTAATAAAAATAAACATTGTCTTATCCATGGATAATAGCAATTTTTGGATCAAAACCAATACCTAAAAGTGTGCATTGCAATAAAACATTATGAAGAGCATTAGACAATGTTCTCCAATGTCATAAGCTACCCTATACGAGTCACAGCCTGTATTTCATAAATTATCTGTTTATTGTGTTGACAATGCTGTCAGAAGCCAATCCTACCCAGTATAATAAAGTCTTTCCTTTTCTGATCAATGCATTTTAAATATCAAGCAACTTTAGTACACTTCAGATGTTACCTTCTATCTGCCTTTGAATCTTGGCAGAGTACACAGTTGCAAAGCACAAGCTGACATTCTTGTGGGTCACTGTAAATAGAGAAGTGAGATGCTCAGGAGTAAACATGTCACTGATTAGATTGGGAAAAAGCTGGTGATTTAAGCCAGTGTCAGTCTGGAAATTATTAATCTAATGGTAGACAGAATCCGTTAGGGAGAGGGAAACTGTTCTACCAGGGAGGCTGTACAAGCAGGAAACTCCTTCCAGAGTGTTATTTGCAATTAGTGCAGCTGGGTGGAGATGGGTGACCCTCCAGCTAAGATGGTCTGTGTATCTGGATCTTCACAACTACTGCCCATGGTAGAACACATCCCACCCAACCTCCCTTTCCCACTATCAGCTCTCTTCCTGGGGCTCTGCTAGCATGGATTACTTGGAGATTCAGTGCACTTTCTGGAAATATTGAGGGATTTGGGATGAAAGCAAGCCAAAAATACGATTCCAAAAAGTGTCTAAATTCACATGTGTATGCATAAACATAAAAATATATATGCATCTACATACATATAATATATATGTAGATTGTATAATACCCAATCATATAAAATTTAATATTAATATGGTTTATTAATGCTGCATATATGTATCTACATATATATAACATATATATGTATATATATATACATGTGTGTATATATATATAAATATGTAGATTGTATAATTCCTAGACATGTAAAATATTATATTATTTGAGATTTTAAAAAAATTCTTTAATTTTTGTGTTTAGTTTTGTTGTTGCTGTTGTTTTGATTTTTGTTTGTTTGTTTTTAAATGCATATTCCTTTCCACCCAAAGATTTATGTTCTCAGATAATCTTATTTACAAGGAACCCCCTCAGCAGTGCAGGGTGGAGTAAGTAAGGTCTGGCTGGAGCAGATAATTGCTCTGCCATCAGCGTTGGCTCTGGCCCCCGTCCAGCGAAGAGAAATGGGTGGGCACAAGGGTCACTGCTTCCCGTATGTGATAATCCCGGGGGGGGGTCTCACAATTCACTTCCTCGCCGCGTCCGTGTGCATGCATTCCCTCTGCAGCGGCAGCTTTGCTTTCTCTTGGGGTATTTTTTTTTAATATCAGCAAAGACAACCAGGAAGAAAAAAACGTTGCATTAAAATTAGAACGGAGAGTCGACTGCTGAAGAGCTTTATTTTTTTAGATTTTTGTTTTGTTTTGTTTTTAAAGCCTAATTCACCTTAAAGAATCTCAAAACCAGCCTCAAGGGAAAGATTTGTGAATTTCTGTAATGGAAAGCGGTAGCCTCTAGGGCCCAGAGGATATGCAGGGAGGCATTTTCTCTCGCCGGTGCAGCTGAGAGCGAGCGCGAGAGAGCGAGACCTGGAAATGAAAGTAAAGAGATCAGGAGGCACATGGAGGGAGCTGCAGAGGCAGCCGATCCAGAAGCAGAATGCTGCCTTCTATAATTAAATAGCACTTACTATTATTATTACTTCTAGTAATAATACATTAATAATATCTCTAGTAATACAATACCATTTATCAAGGAAAGTTTATGCATAGTGTGGGGGGGAAAACCCGAGGAGAGGTGAGTTCTCTATTATTATTTTGGGGGGGATTATTTTTGTCTTAAATCAGTTTTCTGTGTGTTTGTGTATGTAGAAAAGGGGTGGACTTGAGAAGCAAGAAATTCTGGATGTTGCTTCCTTAGAAAGTAAAGGTTTCAGATAGTAACTGCATAGATGAAAGGTTGTGTAATTGGAAATGTAAAAAAATGTGGTGAAAAATAATACGGGTGAGATTTTGAAGCTAAACCTTCCGCCAAAAATGTGGGGTTTGCAAAAAAAAAAAAAAAAAAAATATTGTCAACGATCCTAATCCCACCCCCTGGAAAAAAATGTGGTAGTCTAAAATTGCATAGCTAGGGGGAAAGACCCTTGGTTTATGTGAAAAATTTAGTATTAATCGCGTTTCTGGCTGTTTGTGTTTCGTACGTTCGGGATGTATGTTTTGGTCTGTATTTAGGCTGCATTTTCCCCCCTCTTCTTTCCTCCAAACCTCATGAAACGACAGAGAAATAATTTGGAATTGCTTTTTAGATGGACCTTCCGTAGTGTCTTCTAAAGTTTATCAAATAAGAAGACTGTGTTTTTGCGGGTTTGGGTTTTGTTTCGTTTGTTTTTGTTTTAATTCTTTAATGTTTAATACCGTTTCCGGGTAGCAGGGGACGTTATGCGTTTTTGGTTTTTTTGGTTTGGTTTTTTTTTTTTTTTTTTTTTTTTTTTTTTTTTTTTTTTTTTTTTTTTTTTTTTTTTTAAAGCCGTCTCCCAGACTCTTGGAAATGCGTGATTTTTATTTAAGCGGATGGGGGATGGGGAAGGAGGAAGAGTATGTTTTGGTTTGTTTTCCTTTTCCCGGCAAACCTGGAGGTCTCCTGCCGTGGGAGAGCCCTCCCAGCAGGGCCGCGGTGTCGGGGGTGTCGGGGTGCCGCGGTCGGCAGTCGCGGGAGGCGCCGCCGGCCCCTCTGCGCTCCAGCGGCCGAGGTGGCGCCGCTCCCGGCGGCGGCCTCTACGCAAGGCCGGGGACCGGCGGCCTAGTGCTGGCAGCAGCGGGAGGAAGCGAGAGAGGGTTCCCGCGCGATCCGTGTGCGAACCAGCCCCCGGATTTAGTTTTTCAAATGAGGCACGGGAATGCGAGCTGGGTGGACAGAAACCCAAGAGCAAGTGGCGTAGGGATAGGCAGCATCACCCCGGAGCTCTCTCCTTGTTCCTTGGCTGTGCTGCAGTGGGGGCAGGAGGAAGGGTGGCCTGTGGTACATGAAGGTGTTATGTGTAGAACACAAGGCAGAAGGGAGGGGAAAATTAGGTAATGGGGGCTGATGTGGGCAATTGAGGCTTTAGCCCCCACCACCATCCCCCTCTCAGGGAAACTTAAGAGTCACTGCTTTTATTTTCAGTGGGGGGTGAGCTGGTTGTTGCTACCTTGCTCTGCATTCGCTGGGTGCCGTGAATATTGCTGGGGTGCAGCTGGTGGCCCCAGTGATGCTGCAAAGCAGAACTGGCACTAGCAGGGTGCTGGCATGTGAGATGGTGGCCATGAAAGTTCCTTGGGGTGGCTGGTGTGGGGAGGGACAGAGGAGTCAGCTCTGGTGGGCACAACATAGTGGTGGGGAATCCAAGAGCAGTTTACTCTAAGAAGCAGTGAAACCCAGAGAGTGGGGCATGGCAGAAAGCAGCTGCAGGAGTGAGCAAGACCCCAAGTTTATAGTGAGCTCAGCAGTTTGTCCTTTACTTGATATATGCCCAGTTAGGTATTCTGCTGCACCACTAAAGTGGTCAAACAGCAGACAGTGAAAGATTCCCATATTTCAGACCAGTGTATCCTGGAGCC